ACACAAATTTCCGAGAAAGGCAAAACTTCCAATAAATGTTTGAAATAAGCAAAATAGGCAAAAAAAAGCAATTTGCCTTTAATCCGAGCTTTACACACATTCATTGCTTACATATTCGATTTTTTGGATAAATTTATTGTAAGTTTTAATAATGAAAACTAAACTTCCAGGACAAAATACGATTAACACAGTGCTTCTATTTTCATTATTATGCATTAGGCAAAACAGTTAAAACACATGACGATTTTAGGTTCCAAACATGTTTCATAACATGAAATAATAGAATAGTTCATAACATAAGTGTTTTTTTAATTTATTTCGTAGCCGTTTCACCGTTTATAAGGAGTTTTTCCACTGATTTGTAGGTAATCTCAAAATCTATGTTCCTCCGCAACTATACTTTCATCTGCTTGGAGTTCCATTGGAACAATAAACTTGTATTTCCCGAAACCTTGTCTAGATATGAACGCCGGAACTTTGACGAAAATAAACAAAGTGAAATGACCTTTCAAACTTTAAAACATTCATAACTTTATATGGATATTAAAAACGCAAATTCTTCTGAAAATCGTAAAAAGTCGAGACATGTTGTGGTTAGTCAAATCTACGCTTTAATACTTGATTTGAAGTTAAGCGTTGAACAGTAACTATAAACGTTGAACGTAACTATAAAATTGTGAATCCGACAAGCGGATACATGGGATAGAGGCTTTAAGCGGTCATACAGTAGGCGTTTCACTAAACCGAACCTCAACTCGTGTCATTGTACAACACGATCTTAGTGATTAGAATTTATAATACCGATTGACAATTATGGTAATTTCAATACATTGTTTATATTACTGTAATGTAAGTTTCAAACATAAAATAAATATGAATTGTTAACAATATTTATACATCTGGAAGCACTAATTATAAATCAACTACTAAGCAAACAATATAATTTTGATGAGTTATTAAAATTTGCACCTTATAGACTAGAATGTGTACGTATCTTAAATTGTAACTGGTAATAACATAATAAGTTGCCCATATGGTGATATCAATCCAGTTTTATATAAGTTTCACTCAAACCAAAGTTTACTTATTTACCAATTAAGGATTTAAAAAACCCTTAGGGCATAACGCTATAAGTAGAATAGTTACAGTTTCATACCTGAAAAATAACATCGCAAAACAAAAACTAAATTATCTACACGTATCTTAAATCTGATAATAAATCAGACTAAAATAACAAAATCTTAATACTAACTTACAAGTTATAAATGCATGTTCATAGTTAAAGTATCCAAAAATACAGTTTAAAGTCTCAACAAGAAGCTGCTTTAACAATTAAATTCTATCTAATTCCATCCAACAACATTGTTCTTTCATAAACCAGTATTTTTCAATAAAATTGTACATAAAGTTAATGCCCTAAAATGCATTGGTTTGACCAGATACAAAATAGGTTAATTGCACGATTTAATATTTACGAGTTTTTTTTGGAGTTGACTAAATTTTCGCAGATAAATCTACTACTTAGTAAAATAAATATTAAATACTTTTCCCATGGAAGTTTTTATGATATGACCTAGGGATCTGATCTAAAAATCTATACAAAATACTGATAATATCTAAGCATAATACTTTATACAGGATTGCGTTTAACTAAGGTATAAATTTGCCGACCCTTGATTCTTATTTGCTGATCGGCAAGTTTTGACAGTATAGCGTAATTTTTCATATTTTGGTTAAGAGTGGTTTTTTCAAATCCAGTTAAAAACAGTTTTGAAAAGATTTATGTTTAAAAATTAAGCTACTAACAATCAGTTATTTTAGAATATTCTGTTGTTTAGTAAGTAAAACAAAACAGCAGCAAAAACCTATCAAAACGAGACTGTCAAGTAAGTTATAAAAGCCTTGTTTTATTTAATTTATTCCTTATTAATGACAACCCTGTATGTAATTTAGAATATCTGGTTAACAGGTAATCCCAACATCAACTGTAAAATTGAACTTTTTTGATGTAGGCTTTTACGATACTCTCTTAAAAATAGTATTAAAGATAGTTAAATGACAGATTTACTATCTGGTTTGGTCGCTGTTGGTTTTAGCTAGCTTTTCCAACTTGATTTTTTTTGTCTGCTTCTGATGCTCGATTTGAAAGTCCCGTTCGGTGATATCCAGCCGATTTATGTTATAAATCAGATTTTCTTCATTTAATATCTCTTCGGGTGGATTTCTAAGCCGAGCCAAAGTTTCACACAGACCTGGACAGTTGCGTCTACTTTTAGCTGTACCGAGACACCCGATAAGTATCACGAGAGCAGTTTTAAATAAAATTTTTATTCCTTCGCATAGAAATACATCCCAGACACGTAACAATGTGTCCCAAGGTAAAGTGCGAGTAAACGCACACAGGAACCACTCTGTACAGTAGAACATTGGCTCAGCGTTAACTTTTTTGAGATGCCGATAGACTTGGGGAGATACCTTCTTTAGAAGACCTTCAAACAGGAAAAATAATTTAGTTTAAATAATTAAATAAAATAATTGCGAGTGGTTATTTACATTTATATTTTGATGTGGAGTATTTTTGTAAATTCTTATAGCAATAGGAAGCCTTTGCACATTTTTTTCTTTAGTAAAATTGATTAATGACGAACAAATAAGGGTCCTACAAAATTTTTCCTCATTCTGCCTAGCCATAAGGAATTTACCAGCAATCAAAGCTTAAACGCACACAAAGCGCGCCAAAATGAGGTGTTATGTGACGTCGCTGGGTATATTTCAGCTCCGCCACGTTCGGCGCTTGTCCGTGTCTAGTGTGAGTTTCGCTTTGCTTGTTTCTCAATTAGTGAAAATAAAAATATTTATAGATACTGTTTGGTTCCATAGTCCACATGTCCCACTATGTCCACAACAGGAAAAACATTTATAAAAGTGCCATTAAACGGAAAGAAACGGAAATTGTGGTTGAAAGCAGCTCGGTGGAACTACACAGATGTTTTATATTTGTGAGGATCATTTTGAGTAAGTTTACATAAGAACAATAATATATAACGCGTTATGAACCGTGCATGTGCGTTAAATTTAGATGTTGCAATTTTGGTTTATTTAATTTTGCAGCTTGAAAAAGATATGGAAAATTTTATGGAGTGGAAAATGATGAGAACAGAAAAGAATAAAAAATGCTGTTCCACATAAATTTGAGTCCCAAAAAGATAGAAACCGAACTTTTGACCCTCCTGTACGACCCGTAGTATTGAAACGAACTAGAGAATATTATAAATGACGCTTTACCTGCAGAGATAGGTACTACCGTACAGCTAAAACGCCTGACGTAAATTTATCATCTGAAGAGAAGAAATTGCACACATTGCTGGTCGTGGTATATCAGTAGCCTTACAAGTAAATTTAAGACCGAAGTATAGAAGTAAGTCATCTGAATGCAACGTTCGCACAGCTACAGTTTGTCAGAGTTGTTCACCTATTAAAAGGCTCAACTACTAGTATTGTATTATCTTCAATAAAAGTGGAAGCGGCTACGAAAAAGTTATACTCCTCATCAGTCAAGTTTATCAAGTGAAAGTCAGAGAACATATCAGAATTTTCAGGTGGTCTATCTGTCTAGGGGTGCGTTATCAGGAGATAGTGGTCTGATATGACAAAAATGGGGTAGGGATTTGACTCTAATAACCTCTCGTACTCAAATGTCAATCTCACTTGCGCGTGGTGCACCCTGCTTTTACAAACGAGTCTCTGACGACCGAGTCACAGCGGCATAACCGTATTACCGAGGCTAAGAAAATGTAGTCCTCTAGAATAAGATTCTCTACCAACGCGCACCAGCAACCCACACAGCGGTAGAAGTAAGGCTATAAACCCCCTTATGTATAGTCTGAACGCTATAACTTTGGTTGCACGTCATCAATCGTCTGTCGAGCGTTGTTGCCATATCCGCCATAAATTATATGTATACACATAAATACTCGAAGCAGTTTTAAGTTATCTCAATGCTGTCTCGCTTTTGCTGATTATTCTTTATGGAATAATGGTTTATTTAACAAGCACAAATATACCGTCAACGCAAAAGTCATGGACATGACAAACACAACAAGAAACGTCATGTGCCTTTAAAAAATGTCTGATAAATCTACAATCGCTTCGGCAGCATTGTAATTATGAACATAATAATTTTAAAGATAAACATAAATAATCAACATCGCTTTAAATTAGGTGGTACTCTAAAGTTCTTTCCCATTTTATGATTGTTTGTGGTTCTCCAATGCCCAAATCACAACACTTCCGACCAAAGTTATAGCGTACAGACTATATCGCTTCCCAGGGAGAACAATGACGCAACTGCAAATTTTGACTTTTTGAGTTAATTATGGCACTATTACAAAAAATGTTCATTTATGCAGTGGAACAACGACGTAATGTTAGAACATCTAGTTTTCGCTAGAGGGCAGATGCATGTTAGTTCCAATGCCGGCTTCTTAACCATGCCTCCAGATGAACAGTGACCTAACGTTAGTAGCGTCTGAGTAGGCAAGTCTGCTACATGAATTTTGGTTCAACAAGGACGTAAGTGCTATTGTAGTATATTTTGATAGTTTATACAGATTCATATTCTATTCTCTTCTTCATATATAAGAGTGACAATCAATGTAATACGAGAGAGGGCAAATATGATCATGAAGCGAGCGAGTACATCATAGGCGGTCGGATGATAAAAACTTGGGTGGATACCAAACCTTGAACTAGAGAGTAAATATGGAAGCAGCGAACAGAGAAATTAACAAAATTTTAAAAGACTCACAGAAACGATGGTTCCCAAAAAACAAGCCAAAGCATAGGCTTAGGGAAAACACAAAGAGTATTATGAAACGATTTACTTCCATAATGTCGTATAGGTAGACATTATATTTATTATAAAATTATTATATTACATTATGAAACGAATATTACAGAATTCGTGCACAAAATATATAGGTAGACATTTTTTACTTTTATTAGGTGACATCCAGACTATTAGTCTAAAAAAATTTTACTAGCTGCGCTTGCGGAAAAGCCAAAATCATCACCTAGTTCAGCAAATTTTTTGCAGAACTAGATAAATATTTACAAAATTCAATTTTGTGTTATCTCTTATTTCCAGTTTCTGGTAGATTCACTTATTGGTTCGATAACTATCGGTCCGCTAAAGTTGTAGGTTCTATAACTTATGGTGGGTTTCTCAACATGTCTAAACGTCAAAGCTAGTGATCCATAACTATCGACTCTATAAAGTAGGCAAAGCTTAGTATTCTGTGGGCAAAGCCATATAACGAAGAAGAAGAATCTGTAAAGACCGGTTAGAGTGACTTGTGTTATCAAAAAAATGTGTCCGGTTTATTTTACTTCAGAGATCCGGGGTCTATTTAATATTACAAGCTATAAGTATTGGGCTCCGAAGAAAAAATCAAATAAATACAAACTATGCAAATATATTTTGTCATTATACCTGTTGCATAAAACCTTAGAGTAATTAGCAATTGTTCGCAAACAGATAAACTGTGGTTTATCTGTATCACTGGCTGAATTTGTTCCTGAAGTGGCTCTTCTAGGCTTCTAGGTAGTGAACCACGTTTTTGGTTAAACGAACAAATTTCTCTATTAAGAACATCGAAGTCTTCCTCGTCAGATGAGTCCGAAGTGGAATCTTCCATTATATTCAAAAACTTTGACCTATGACTTGCTTCTATACTTCGGTCTTAAATTTACTGATGTACAATATAAGCAAAGTTTTCGGTTCTTGTCACATCTTTCAATTGTTCCTGTTCGTGAAATGTCTCCTCTTCAGATTTTACGTCAGGCGTTTTAGATGTACTAAGTCTGTATGCATCTAAAGCGTCATTTATAACGTTAAATCTATTACGTTTCATAACTGCGGCTCGCACAGGAGCGCCACTACTTCATTTTCTGTGTTTTTGGCTCGCAAGTTTATGTGGAACAACATCTTTTGTTATTCTTTTTCTATTCTTTTATGCGAACTTACATCGAAATTATCCTTACAAACATAAATGTTACTTTTTGCAGAAAGATCGCTGCAGTTTCGCCGCGCTGCTTTCAGTCACAATTTCCATTTCTTTTCGTTTAATGGGACCTTTACAAATGTTTTTCCTGGTGTAGACGTAGTTGTACTTGTACACTGTGGCACCATACAGTACTTATAAGCCATTTTACTTTCAATAATTAAGAAACAAGCAAACCAAGACACAATATTCACATTAGAATTGATTTTGACATTTGATTGCTGATAAATTTGTTACGACTAGACAGAATGTGAAAAAAAATTGTATGGCCCTTACCTATTTGTTCGTCATAATCAATTTTTTGGAAGAAAAAAAATGTACAACGACCCCATTCTATCCGACGGACCGTTTGACGTCACAGCTAGTAAAACCGCGTTCTGGCTGACGTTATTTTTAAAGCAAAAATGGTAAATTTTGATCCTTTTTTACCACAATTTTTTTTTCTAAAATTTGTTATATGCCTTCTTCTAAACGACCCACAAGGTGATTCAAACAGCGCGTAGTTTTCAAAATTTCTAAAACCAAACTTTTTTGAAAAAATTGTGATAAAGGACATCAACCTCATTTAGGGCTCATTTCAGGTATGAAAAATGATATAATTTCTATGACACAATGCACATTTCAATGCACATTCAAACTTATGTTTTAGTTTTTTGCAAAGATTACCGTTTTTGTTTAAAAAAACTGCTATTTTTCTGTACTTCCTAAATACTCCCAGATAACGCGTCCAGAAGAATGACGCTAATTTTGAATCAATTTAGATGTTGCTGCTATTTTTTTGAACGGCCAAATAGGAGAGTCTTTTTCCAACTTACCTTGTAATATAAACCCATCTCTTTGCACCACCTCCATATCAGGTGAATAGTAGTCTTGCAAATATTTGTTTGATATGGAAACTAGACACCAAAACGCCTGTTCAGCAGGCATGTGCATAAGAAGAAACGCAGCTACAGGCGCTTGAGCTTGACAGTAACCTATCTCCGGATTGTTCACTGTATAGGCTTTCAGTACATTTAGAAGTTCATGCTGCCTGGAATTAGGCAATTATTGCTCGACATATCGAAAGACGAAGTTGAATTTCTTACCCTGGTTTATCTTCCGAATTAAACATCTCATGCGTAGGAAACTGTCTGTGAATATCCTTTTTTATATCTTCTAAACTCTTCGCTTCACCTGGAGCTCTCAGGCACTCTTCATACCTGCCTGGATTATGAGTCATGAGTTGGTGACCACCACATATGTACAGCCATGCACGCGGCCTTATTGACATTGGAATGCCTTAAAAAAACATTTGATATTTTATGGAAAATTCTACAGCGCATTTCTGTGAGGTATGCAAACACCGCAGAAATGCTCATTTTCTATCGAGGAATTACGACACAAGTTACAAAAGTCAATAAACAGATATTTCCTCACATATTTAAGACGTTAAGACAAACAATGCGTTAGAACAACGGTGAACGCAGATCCAGCTAAATAATGTTTTGGCAGGATTGTGTGTGATGGGTGACAGTGTTTTCGATATCTAAACACATTGTGCAATTTGAAATAAAGTTAGGCATGTCAATTTATTATAAGAAACAAATATCTAAACACGAAAACATCAGCTAATTTTTAAAATCTACCCGAACATCTAAACAACTTTTACAATTATATAAATACCAGATAATATAAATCCTTTTATTAAATCACTTTAAAAGAATTAGATATAGTTTACACCGCTCGTAAGCATAGTTGGCTTGTTTTGATGACTTTTGTGTTCGTACTGTACATTGTCCTTGGACATGCTATCTTTTGTATTATTTGTTTTTACCATTGTTGACTGTCTTTGTGCTATATTTTGTAGTACATACAGGGTGGGCCAAAGAAAAGGTCCCAGCCCTATTTATGACTCTCCTGGTAGATTTAGAAAATAACGCTCTAACACGTCAACTTTGAGTTTTAAGGGGACATGTTGCTAACTATCATTGCATTATACAGGGTGTTTCATAAACAAGATACTACGTCACTCTTTTGATTTTCAAATGAAAACCTAACCAGATGGGGCACCACCCCATAACGCTACTTTTTGTCGGGAATTTTTCGTAATAAATGGATTGGCATCCAGGGTGCCATTCTCTGGGCGGCAAGGTCACCGTACTTAACACCAATGGACTTTTACCTTTGGGGGAGATTAAAAAACCTTATTTTTAAATTTCCTCCACACTGTAGACCAGTGTTAGAAATATCAGTGATTCAAGGATTTGTATCTCTACCATCCATTGAACTGATTAACTCCCCAAGAAATGTTGAGAAAAGGTGTCGTCTATGCATTGGTGAAAGCAGTAGGCAATTCGAGTGTCTATTGAAAGGATATGTTTTGTTGTTGTTGGCTTAATTTTATTGTTTTGTTTTCTAACAGTAAATATGCATTATATACAGGTAGATTTATGTAGTCCGTGCATTAGAAGTTTTCCAACGTGCAGTTGTTTTAGAAACTTCATATCTTGTTTCCGGTCATAACGAGTGGTGCCGAAACCATGAAAAGTACATTTAACCTATACAGGGTGTATGAAAACTTTTTTATTTTAAATGTGAACTCCTAATTTCTTTAGCATGGTTGGATTGGCCTTCAAACTGCGAGTTTGGGTTACCCTAGCTTTGTTAACTTATCTCTTATAGTTTTTTATATACAGGGTGATTCACAACCTTATGGACACAGAGCAGCGGCGTGTAGAGGACCTCAAAACACATCGAGTTTTCAATTAAGTTTTTTTCCTCGGGCCCACGGTTAGTGAAATACAGACAGGGTGTTTCTCAGTTACAAAAAATGTTGGTATTTTCCCTTTAACTCCTACAGTTTATCAGATATTTTGCTCAAATTTTTAATGTAGGCTAATGTTTAGATCCTTTACCCGTAGCTAAAGCGACTGGCTGAAATTCTACAGTGTGTTCTTTTTTCTAGAGGGATGCCCTCCTTTACTCCCCGAATTTTTTTGTGGTGTGCCACTGACTTCGAGCAAACACATGTTTGCATTTGTAGTTCACTTTAATAATTTTCTTATCTTTTGCAGTTTTTTCGTATCCTTCTTCGTTTTAGGGTTATTTGCACCAATATAAGTTAATGTAGGGTTTCTGGTTGATTTGATTAAAAATGTGAACAAAAGTACGCAAAAAAATTATTAGAAAATTCATAGAAAATCAGCCAGGAACCCTACATGAACTGACATTTGTGTAAATAACTCGAAAACGATGCTGCAGGAACCCGAAAAAACTGCAAGCGATCAGAAAATTATTAAATTGAACAACAAATTCAAAAATTCGTTCGGTCACAGTCCGTGGCGCACCACAAAAAAGTTCGGGGGG